ACGTACAAGGAAAAGAAAAGAAAAGAAAAGAAAACAAAAGAAAGAAAGAAAGAAAGAAAGAAAGAAAGAAAGAAAGAAGAGAGAGAGAAGAAGAGAGAGAGAGAGAGAAAGGAGAAAGAGAAAGAAAGAAAAAGAAAAAGAGAAAAGAAAGAAAGAAAGAGAAAGAAAGAACAAGAAAAAGAGAAAAGAAAGAAAGGGAAAGAAAGAAAGAAAGAAAGGAAGGAAGGAAGGAAGAAAGAGACAACCCAACTGACTAGAGGAAAATATTTGTAAATCATACTTTAGAGAGAGATTTGTATCCAGAAATATATGAGGAATTCTTAGAACCCAAAAATAAAAGGACAAATAACCCAATTAAAAATGGACAAAGAATTCGAATAGATATTTTTCTAAAAATGAGACACGAGTGGCCAAAAGCATATGAAAAATGCTCCACGCCATTAGTCTTCTGGGAAATGCAAATCAAAACTCAATGAGATACCACTTCACGCCCACTAGGATGGCAATAATAAAAGAGACAGACAACAACAAGGGTTAGTGACTATCTGGAGAAATTGGAATCCTCATACATTTGCTGATTCGAATGTAAAATGGTGCAGCTGCTTTATAAAACAGTTTTAAAATTCCTCAAAAAATTAAGCAGAGTTACCCTATGACCTAGCATTCCACTCCTAAGTAAATACTCAAGAGAACTGAAAACATGTGTTCACACAAAACCTTGTACATAAATTTTCATAACAGTATTATTCATAATAGCCAGAAAAATGCAAACAACCCAGTTATCAATCAACTGATGAATGTGAACAAAGTATGATGTACCTATACGATGGAATACTATTTAGCCATAGTAGAGGATGAAGGGCTGGTACTCATGGATGGGACTTTGAAAACATGTTCAGTGAAAGAAGCCAGACATCAAAGGCCACCTATTATGTGATTCCATTGTTATGAAATGTCCTGAATAGGCAGATCCACAGAGAGAAGAAGTAGATGAGTGATTGCCGAGGGCCGAGTGGGCAGAAAAATGGGAGTGACTGCTAGTGGATTAGGAGGTTTCTTCTGAGGGTGATGAAATGTTCTGAAATTAAATTGTAGTAATGGTCGCACAATCTCGTGCATATACAAAAATCCACCAATGTGTAAACTTCAGAAGGGTGAATTTTATGATATGTGAATTCCCTCTCAATAATGCTGTTATTAAAAAAACCAAACCATAGAACTGAGAAAAAACAATTTTAAGTCAGTAAACCAGACCTCTCCCCTAAACTCCAGCCTGGCACATCCTACTGTCTCCTTGACATTTCTGCTTGGATGCCTAATAGACATCTCAGACTTAACATGTCCCAAACTGAATTCTCAGCATCTCCCAAAATTTGCTCCTCCCAAAGTTTTCTCCGTCTCAATAAATGCCAACCCGGTGCTTCCAGACACCCAGGCCAAAGAATTCACAGCCATCCTTGACTCTTGTCCTTCATCACAGCTTCCATCCAATCCTTCAATGAATCCTCCACTACCTCTAAGATATTTGTGGAATACGGTGACTTCTTACACTGTCACATCTGTCACTCTGGTCCAGGCCACCATCATCTTTTGCCAGCCCTCTAATTGGTCTCTCCAATTCTATCCTTGCCCCGTTAGGAGCTAAACTGGGTTCCCTCCATATTCATGTGTTGAAGCGTTAACCCCCAGGATCTCAGAATGTGGCTACATTTGGAGATCTGCCTTGAAAGAGGGAATTAAGTTAAAATGAGACCATTAGGTAGACCTAATCACTCCCCAAGAGGACGTCCCTAACCAGTCTAACTAAAATAGAAACCTGATTGGTGTCCTTACAAGAGAAGGAAATGAGGACCCACAGAGAGACCAGGGCTTCATGGCTGCAGAGAGAAGACCCCCTGAGGACACACGGAGAAGACAGTCCTCTGCACGCCAAGGAGAGAGACCTCAGAAGCAACTACTCCTGTTGACATCTTAACTGTGGACTTCCAGCCTCCAAAACGGTGAGAAAATAAGTCTCTGTTGTTTCAGCTACCCCGTCTGTGGTATTTTGTTGTGGCAGTCCTGGCCAATCTGCAAAACACCCCTCTACAACCTATTTTTCACACAGCAGCCAGAGTGATGTTTTAGAACCCTATCACCACTCTGCTCAACACTCTCATGTGCTGCCCACTTCCCTCAGAGTGAGAGTCACAGTCCTCACGTGGCCTGGAAGTTCTCATTTGCCTTCTGCCCTCATCTCCTCCCAGGGCTGCCAGGCTGCACAACTCCCAAGGGCACTGTGCACGTCCTACCCATTTCCCCACTGCCCCCCTCACTGTGCTCCAGCCCTGCTGACTTCTGGGAAATTCCTCAGACACACTAACTTCACCCGAGCCTCAGGGCCTTTGCACATGCTGCCCTCTGTGTCTAAAACACCCTACCCCCACATCCACGTGCCTCACTTCCTCCCTCTTCAGGCTGCTGCTCCAACATCACTCCCCAAGAGGACATCCCTAACTGGTCTATCTAAAATAGAAAGATGCCTATACGCTGTTTCATTTTTCTTTCAGCACTTAGCACCACCTGACATATGATCATCATATATTTCATTGTTCCCTTGCATATTGTTTATTTCTCTCAATTGGCAAGGAAGCTCCCTGAAGTCAGGGACTTAACTTTGTTCCTATGGCTCTACCTCAGTGCCTAGGACAGAGCCTGGCCTGTAGAAGCTCAGTAAATAGTAGGTTATTTTTAACAAAGGAAAGGGTAAAAAAACTGAGGCTATCTGGGTCACTTTTAAGACTGATTGTTTTTCCCCTCGCTAGAAAGCTCAGAACCAATCTATTCACTGTCTTCAGTAAGTATACTAGGAAATGTATGCATGAACCTGGTTTTGTCTGTTTCCCTTCATTTTACTTTTGCTTTTACTCCTCTTATTGAGATACACTGTGTGCATTTCAGTCAGCTGCCTTTGTTTTCGAAATGATATTGAGTATAATGAAATGAATGTAAAAACACATTTTAAGAATGTCTCCAGCTTCTGGCCCTCTGGGATGGCTGTTTGACCTCTAGCTGTCCTGGGGGTGAGAGAAGGACACTTGGAGCACTCCCCGTGCGAATCGCTGGGTGGACTTGGGTTTCCCCGGACTCAAGAGTTCCTGGGAGAATTCTTCTGAAGCCATATGAATTCTCCAAGGGACCATCAGCTGAAGCAGGAAAAAAAAAAAGAGACTCTCTGAAGTCCTGATGGTCAAAGAGAATGGAAAAACTGCACTTTGGGGGAGGACAGTACATCTTCTCAGCCTATGAGGTGTCAGGCTGAAGTTGAAAGGAGAGCTTTTAAATTTGCCTGCCCCAAAGGGCACAAGGGCCGTTTCTGGGTTAGCTGCCTGGGTGCCAGCAAACACAGGCACAGAGTGACTATTGTCCGGCCAGCCAGGTTCCTAGAGAACGCTCTGCACTGGCTCTCAGCGACTCACACGCTGACCCCAGGGACAGGGACATGGGGGCAAAGGGTCCCGAAGCACTACTCAGACAGGCGGACTGTGACCCTCTGCTCCCTAGAGGTCAGAACTTGCCGCTGAGGCCAGGGCCAGGGCTTCTGACTTCTGAGATCCATGTTCCCAATCTCTCTGCTCACATAGTCCTGCCCCCAGCCTGCGGGCAGAGTTCAAAGCCACACAGGTCTGGAAGCAGCTGTGACTTCCTCTCCCAGAGGAGGCTGCCAGCTACCACTATCCCCTTCGTCAAAGAACTGGGTGGTGTAGGCAGTTTTCCGAAGGTTCTCACAGACTCCCCTTCGCCCTCCAAAGCCTTGTCACATGCCAGGTGGGGAGCCCTGGTGTTTTTCCATCACAATTTCTCGGCTTCAGACTCAATGTGGCCTCAAGTTACATTGCTTTTCTACTTTCTTTGCTTCTTTGTGTTCTGTTGGCCAACACTTCCTCGGTGGCTGAAGAAGGCATAGTTGAGTGAGGAAAAAAAAATCTAGGGTCTGCAGGATGGGAATTCAGCCTTAATTGTTGTACAGCAGTGGCTTCCCGAGTGTCCTGGTACTTGGACATCATTCGTACAGCAGTTCTCAAATGCAAACATGTTCAAGCTGCCGAGAGACCTGTGGTTAAAGTCACTTGTTAAAAATCTATACCTGTCTATTTAGTGAGCCTGGGTGGGACCAAGGAATGTGCGTTTTTAAACAAGGGCCCAGGTGACTGCATGTAGGCAGCCTCGGGACCACATTGTGAGAAGCCAGCCCTCAGGAGCTGGTTAACTATCTTGGTGTCTGGGTCTGGCCACACACGATTCAGAACTTGCAGCTCTGTGTGTGTCCTTCTCCACAGAGGAATCCGGCACGCAGCTAAGCTGAGTGTCCCCTGCCAGAGAAATTATTTCATTCAGAAAAAAAGCAGCCAGACCTTCACTTTTGAGGTCCTTTCCTCCAGGAGCACTCATCACCCTCTGAAAATCAAGGCACGACAGCTTTCGGCACAGAAATCCTGGAGAAAAACGCTCCTGTGCCCCAGCAGGTGAGATCCTTAAACAATCATGACTACGGAAGTGAAAACGATGATTGTCATCAGTTTCTAGAGCTTCTCTCTCTTTTCCTGGGTCTCATGGGAATCCCCAAGGTGAATATGGCCACCTGGAGCCAGCCACCTGGCTGGGAGACCAGCGCTCCCTGGTACTCGGGAGCGAGGAAGGCATCTGTACCCATCCATCGCCCGAGCCAGCGTGGCTGGCACGCACCCTGAGCAGCTGCACATCACCGCCACACGGGCTCCTCGGTGCCCAGTGCCAGGTGGCTGCAACTGCCCAGGGCGAGGATGCGCTCTGTTCGAAAGGCGAACTGCACCTGGAGGGGACCGTGGAACCTGCAGGAATGCTAGAGTCACCTGAGTGCGGAAAGCCCAGTAGGGGAAATGAGCAGCCTCAGCCCTGAATCATAGCTGATTCAGCTGCAGGACTAGTGGTCAGACTTGCCTGTCCGGGCAGGCTGCTTCTCAGGGGGACCAGACGGTTTCATCTGGAGTTTATGATAAAGTTGAGATCTCATTCAGATGAACGTAACCCTTATTTCTCAGTCCCCAAAAGACAAGTGGAATCATGAACCAGTCTTAAGCTTAAGCACCTGTCCTGATCTCCCGCCTCCAGTGGATATCACTGGGGTCATTTGAGCCATTGCTCTCTTTCACTCATTCATTCATTCATTCATTCATTCAACTGCCTACTGTGAAATAATAACTCAGATTGTCTAAGGGATTGCTCTGGGCCAGGCGGTAAGCTAGAGCTGGCATGGGCATCTTATGCAGTTCTCACCAAACGATATGAGCGAGAGACTCCATTTCACAGATGAGGAAACTGAGGATTGAGGAGGCGAAGCAGCCTGTCTAAGGTACCACAACCAGTAAGGGATGCAGCAGCCTGCCAGATGGTCAGCCCAGCTGGGTGCGCCGGTGGGTTTACTCACCCATTCATTCTGCAAACAAACCTTTGTTCTCTCTCTGCGGCCTGCCCCTCAGCCTACCCACCCTGCCGCCCAGCCTGGGTCCCTCTTCCTATCTACTAGCCTCTCAGGTGGATTCAAACCTGCTGTCCCCTGACTCCTCCTGGTGCCTTGTCACCACTCTCCCAATCTCCCCTCCACGCTCAAGCTCTTCTGGTGGTTGGCCTCTGAACCCTGGTGTTCCTCAGACTTTTCTGACACTCAGTCCCACGACATTTCTCCCGGGAAGGTGTCCCTGACCCGCTTCCTCCCCACACTCACGACTCCACAGTGCGATCCCATTGCATATGGAAGATGCCTTTATCCCAAAGTGACATCCCATAGGACATTGACACGTGGCATTTCTATTTGTCAGTATCCCCTATTACAATGGCTTCCTGAGGTTGGACTGGTGCCCAGCACCGTGCACGGCACACAATGGGTTCTCAGT